TAGAGAGAGACATATATATATATATAATAGAATCGCATCAACTCTATAGAATGATATTCTATTTAATGTAGACTTTATTTTATATATAAACTTTATATAATATTATATTGCTTAATAATAGCATCTAATATTTTAGCTCTATCCTTCCATTAGGTGCAGTAAAATATGCTTTGCCTTATAGACTAATATTTGATTTATATTGTGTTTTCATTGTTTGTAATGTGCTGGTTGAGATATACATGAATTACATTGAGTTTGACAAGTGACAGATCAGCCTGAAAGAATTATTATTATTTTGAGATCTAATCTCCCGGGGAGTATGAAAATTCGATCCTAACAGACACCTTATATGTAGCCTCTATTATAAAATGTTTAAAACATCTAGTCTAAACATTATCAACATCACGTCAGTTCAATCCCACGCACTGTGTAAACATAATTTTATTTATGTATTCTCTTGCCTAGTATACGCCGAGCACATCACTTACAGATTTGTACGATTTCAGAAAGGAGTAAGCTGCTGGGCGAATGTTTGCCTATAGGCACATGTATAAAGCTAAACATATTTGCTCAAGTATAAACCCGATCAACGTTTATCTCTAACACCGAACAAAGTTCGCCACTGAAAACAATATATTAATAATAATACTTTAAATTTATTTCAGGAGTGAATCAAGAATTTGCATTAAACAGGTTTTTTTCGGTTTTAATTCTATAACAATGGGCTACGCAGCATTACCCACACAATTCCTTTGTTTATATGAATTTTTTAAAAACACTTACAAAAGTAAAAATAAGTATATATGACTAATGATAGGCAGCCGCATCTTTTTTCAGTCTCTAAACATGCTATACACATTCTACTTGAAATAAGTTACGTTTTTAAAATAGAAATACTAATCTCGCCTGTTTTTTGCAAACATGGCGTAGCTCTTTGAAGTGTGTGTCGAGAGTAACTCTTATCAGCAGCAGGCAAAATATAGGCAGCAGCAGCAGTCAAATTATGAGATCCCGCAGCAGCAACGGCAGCAGCAGCCTAATCAGCAACTGAGTATAACTTTAAGGTCCCAGTTGGGTACAAGCGTTCCCATTCAATTTCCTAGCATATTAGTTGCGAGATCAGTCCCTGGATCGGGCAATGTTTACTTGTGCTCAGTGGAAATGAACAGTACTAAATAAAATAAGAACTAGACGATATACCTAGAATTTAGTGGAAATACCCCCGTAGATTAAAGAAAAGATTCAGTTCGAAATTCTTTATTTAAATTGTTCAGACAAAATCTTTATTTACATAGTTCGAAACATCGTGAATAGGGCAATAAAGATGAGGTATCATCTTTATTGTTCTATTCACCATGTTTGGCCGTTGTACGCTCCCACATTCTATAGGTGATTGAAATTTCGAACTGAACCCTTTATTTCGTCTACTGGGGTAGATTGTTCTAGTTCCACGTGTCATGTCTCGCCTGGAGCTCCCAGTTTAACTAAACTTTCCAAGTTTTCGTTCACCACTGCAGTAGCAAGGTATTGAACTCGCAAATCTTTTAGGTCAAGTCTCTGGATCCAACCAACGATTTTATCCATGTGTCCTTGAGGAATGGCCGAAATATCGTAAATATGGCAATAAAGATTAGGAGAACAGTCCGAACAATATAAATAATGTACATAATTACAATATCTCATCTCAGAAATATAGACAGATATCGAAACTGCTTGTAGGTTACCCAGATCGATATACACCTGAGGAAGGCCGGAGGGCACAACTGCCGAAACGTTGTGATAACAATAACAAAGATGAGGAAAATAGTGTAAATAATGATAACTCCCTATCGCAGAAATTCAGACAAAAAGCAAATGTTAATTTCTCGTTAATTGGAATTGGCAATTCGATTTCAAATTCAGGTTTAAATTGTGTGTGTGTTTTTTATGTTACTTAATTCTGCATTAAAATAATTTGTCCGATGAAGAAATCATTTTAGCAGAGTTAATCATGTATCGATAACTTGTATTTTACATTAGACAAGGTACTCATTTTATAATTTTGATATTTAGTCACAGTGGAGTAATGGATAGCAGCTCAGATTGAAGAATCAGAGAGCCGAGTTCGATACCCAGTCGAATCCATTACATTCATTTACGTGCTAATATCCCTTGAGAAAGGTATGAATCCTCTTCTTCTAACCCCAGCTATGGGTAAATAGCAAGTTCAATAGCCTTGGATGGCAAATGGTCTACCGCAGAAAAAATGGCAAACTACTGCGGGAAAATAAATCTGCCTCGTCAGTCATGTATCAAAAGGTACATGATGGCCTATGCGTGTATCGAGTATGGAACAAAATTAACTTAATTAATAAATATATCGCGATTAGCATCTATTAGAATGCCAAGGGAAGAGATTTTAATATTAATGTTGAATCCATATATTCAAAGTTAAGTTTCTTAAAGTTTTTATTATTATTTCGTCTCGTCTATGTTTTTCCGTCAATATGAAAATGTTGCCACTATTTCGGGATGTAAAGATATAGAAGGCGTTATGTCCTTTGCAGGTCAAATGACAGCCGCTTAATGACGTCAATACATACAGCGACGAAAGCGCCGGTCATTTTTCAGTTCGTGGACAGCAACAGTACACTATGATTTCTTTCTTCTGGCCTGGGCCAAAGTGCGGAGGTTGAGGTTAAATCTTCCTCCCCGGGAGCTTACAAACATGTTTCTCTTTAGGACATAGATGAATCCGTCCCATTTGAATCTGGAGTTCTAAAACTAGCTTCTCCATGTCATGAGTATCTCCATATTATATGTAAGTTATTACCCTTATTTCACCTTAAACTATCCATTGTTGTGTAGATACGTGCGATAAAATTGTTCTCCTTGTGGGGCATGCGTACTGTATATGTGTACAGAGTTTTGTATATGTTTAAGTAATATAAAATTCTCTCTGAGAACAAAGCATGTTCTTTTTTTTTTCAACCATTCCGTTCAGTCCGTGAACTACGGTGTTATTATATCTCTATCTATAAAAGGCAGGTTGTGTGTGTGTGTGTGTGTGTGTGTGTGTGTGTGTGTGTGTGTGTGTGTGTGTGTGTGTGTAACGAATGCACGGCCGCAATTTTCGACGGATTTGCACCAAAATTTACATGCACATGCTCCAAGTTAGTGGGAAGGCCAAGACCGACTTTGCATTTCCCAACTCCCATCGATAGTGTAAATAATCGATTTGTTCATGCTTCTATGGCAGTTTTCATGTAATTTGCGGCCATATTCTACTGGCCAGAGTGAGAGACTATAGCTGGCTGACACGAATAGGCAAGAAGATTCTATTGGCCAGCGTGAGAGCCAACAGCTGACTGACACGAATGTTAACTAGCATGCTAGCATGCAAAAAAAATCGATAGCTGCATTCGCCACAAGTGGGAAAAATTTAAAACTGCATGGCACGTTACTCCAATTGGCTCATTCGCTTGCTTAAACTCAACGTTGATTCTGGTTCCGCAGAACTGGGTTGGGTGTGGAAAAGTATTTGTTGTTAACATTATTTTTTCATTCGGTTTTTCCAGTTATGAGTCCTTTTTTAAAGCAGATCGTTTTGTGTTCATTTTGTTTAGTTCTTTTTTCGTAACAAATTTAATGTTTAGTATAGAGCTTAGAAAAAATTCGCAGTGTGAGATAAGCAAGAAGTAAGGTATGTAGCAACATCAGCACGGAAAAGGGCACTCCTTTAAAGGCAAGGAAGGGTAAAAATATTTTAAGTCAAGTGATAGCGATTGCTGTATGAGTCGTACGGTTTTTGAATCAAGCACGGACAACGCCGGGCCTTGCTGCTAGTCATGGATATAAGAATAACCATAACGGGAGAAACTTAAATAGCAGAATAAATCTTTCTTCCAAGCACCCTCCCGTTATATAAGTAGGGGGTGGCAAAATATTAACGAGTTTGTCTTCTATATATGTCATGTATAACTTAGATGAAGTGGGGCCAAGCGGTGAGCCCAAAGCTTCACCGTCGGATTGTATGTAAATGGTACCATAATGTTGATAGTAAAACGGTTGTACTTGGAAGTTTGCTGTGTTCACTTCGGTATGTAAAGATATAGAAGGCGTTATGTCCTTTGCCGGTCAAATGACAGCCGCTTAATGACGTCAATACATACAGCGACGAAAGCGCCGGTCATTTTTCAGCAACAGTACACTATGATTTCTTTCTTCTGGCCTGGGCCAAAGTGCGGATGTTGAGGTTAAATCTTCCTCCCCGGGAGCTTACAAACACGTTTCTCTTTAGGACATAGAGGAATCCGTCCCATTTGAATCTGGAGTTCTAAAACTAGCTTCTCCATGTCAGGAGTATCTCCATATTATATGTAAGTTAAGAAAAGCCTGTACCCATTTAATCTCCCACCAGGTATGGGTTAAATGTCAGGATAGACTGGGTTTCCTTAAGCTTGGGCTGCAGCCATTTTAAAAGAAAGATAACATTGAATTCAGTAACGTGAAATAGGCAATAGAAAATAACTCGACTATCGTTTCATGGCATATCTGAAGAGCCATGATCACCTACGCCCGGAATGAATATGGTAATTATATATATATATATATATATATATATATATATATATATATATATATATATATATATTTGAATGAAAAAACAGATCACTTTAAGGTTCCATGTAATAAGTTATATCACCACAACCCCTTTAGCAGGGCTCTGGATCATCAGACT